GAATACATCCACTGCCCCTCTGTGGTTGTGTGTTGCAAAAAGGAAGACTGCAAGAGGTGAGCAAGCTCAGTTACAGGGACATGCATTTGCCATTATCGAGATGCTCGCTGACGCACTTCCAGGTTCCTCGGAACTGTGTCAGCAAACAACTACAACTGCGCTGCCGCTACTGAGCGGGCATATACATTATTGCCCCTCCTCACTATTTACCATGTAAAAGTGTGCTACGCTTACAACATTAATGTGCAACACTACTTTAATACTTTACACAGAGAGTGGTTAAAATGTGGAATTTGCTGCCAGAGGTTGTAGCGATGGCCACAGGAATAAAGAGCTTTAAAAGGGGATTACAAATAACACTTCACATACGAAATTTACGAGGCTCTGGTCCCCGGTACTGAATTATATGACGAAACATGAGATATTGCCCACTAACCATTATTATCATAGGTGGTTGTTCTTATAAAGCATTAGTTACTCGCGTTATTTGTATAGAGAAGTTAGTATTTACCCACGGTAGGGTCTTTAATTTTATTCGAGGGTGCAAAACTTAGGTGTAGTCATGAGATGAAATAAGTAAAAATTAGCTTATTAAGATCACCAAGAGACAGGATGAGGTCTCTTCTGGTTCATAGTCAACCCAGTACGCACAATGATTATAATTCTTACATCTCTATAAGATAACTTGTATTGTATACGTTTGAGTTTTTCTCTCCGTCTGGATTTATTTGTAATGTTATGAATAAGAATAAAAAAATAAATTTTATATAAAAAGGGGGGGGATTACACAGATTCATGGAGGATAAGTCTATCAATGGCTACTAGCCATGGTGACTGAGGGGAACCTCCACATTCAGAGGCACTAACTCTCTGAATCCTAGAGCCATGCGGAAGGCGTTGGCCTCTATGCCCTGTTGTTGCCGCCCCTCCAGAGGAACCAGTTGGCCACTGGGTGAGACAAGATGTTGGAATAGATGGACCATTGGTCTGATCCAGCAGGGCTCTTCTTATGTTATATTAACTGTGGCCTGGCCTAGCCTGGTCTCGTTAGGTCTCAGAAGCTAAGCAAGGTATTTGGATGGGAAACCACCAAGGAATTTCAGGGTCCCTATGAGGAAGGCGATGGCAAGCCACTTGTTAGTCTCTTGCCTTGAAAACCCTATGGGGTCACCATGTTGACTGCAACTTGACTTACACACCACACACTACAATAAACAACAAGAGGGAGGGTCTGCATTAAACTCTGTTACAGAGCTCTAGGGACTGATATTCTGGGTTCCGTTCTGATCCCCACTTAAGGACCCTTTCGGGTGCAATCGAGCCAGTTTGGTGTAGTGGTTAAGAGTGTGGACTCTGATCTGGGAGAACCGGGTTTGAGTCCCCACACCTCCACATGCAGCTGCTGGTGTGACCTTGGGTAAGTCACAAGTTCTCTCAGAGCTGTTCTCTCAAAGAGCAGTCCTCGAACGAGCTCTCTCAGCCCCACCTACCTCACAGGGTGTCTGTTGTGGGGAGGGGAAGGGAGATTGTAAGCCGCTCTGAGACTCTGAGTGAAGGGCGGAGTTTAAATCCAATCATCATCATCTCCTCCTCCTATACACGAGTGACAGCAAGTCCCGGTGAACTTGTTGAGACCTGTGTGTGTGTAAAGTGGTGTCAAGCTGCAGCCGACTTAGGGTGACCCCACAGGGTTTTTAAGGCAAGGGATGAACAGAGGTGGTTTGCCATTGCCTGCTTCTTTGTAGCAACCCTGGACTTCCTTGGTGGTCTCCCATCCAAGTTCTAACCGGGGTCGACCCCGATAAGCTTCTTTTTTCAAAAACAATTTATTAGTATATATTATTAGTTCAAACATACAACATATTTTTTGTTATACATCCTTTCTTCACTCCCCTCCCCCCCCCTGGCTTCCCACAGTGCTCCAACCTCCAGCACATTTCTTAGTTCTTTTCTATTTTCCACTTATCTTCTAATCATAGTCTACCGATAACGCTTCTTTCTACTAATATTTTCTCTTAATTAACTTTCATCTAATAACATTAACTTTTCAATAATTGTCAAAGCAAATTAAATTGTTCTTTACATCCCAATATTTTTCTAAATACTCTTTAAAGTCTTTCCAATCTGCATAGAATTCTTCACCCCGATAAGCTTCCGAGAGCTGACGATATTGGGCTAGCCTGGTCCATCCAGCTCAGGGCTGTTGAAAATAAGACTGGGCTGCAAGTGCCTTCAGATTTACAATTTCAAGAGTGGAGCACCTCTGCCTAAATAAAGCCAGCGACAAAGCAGACGATTCCTGCACCTCTGTCTAAGAGAACACAAGGGCAGAGGAAACACTTCCCCCACCTCATTACTGAACCCACTTACATGGCTGAAGTCATTGGTATGGTCTACTGCTTCGCCAATGATGTTTATCGCTACGAGAGCCACCTAGAACACCGAGAACAAAACAAAGAGATAAGGGTAAGGAACCACATACTGTGAACTAAACAAAGACTTACATCCTACACCAAGAAAAGTGTAGCCCTGCAAAAAAAAAAAAAAAATGCAGCCCAGCATAGCTGCATATTTTTTATGTTGCCGAATTTTGCTTTCCATCCCCCAATCAGTGAAGGCAAGGCCAGGAACTCAAAGGCTGAAAATCACTGCCTTGCAAACTCTGAATTAGATAAAGTCTCAGCCTGACTTCAAAAAGACAGTGTTCTTCTGTCTGCTGAAGGATGTTTGCAACAGGGACCAGAGAAACTCCCCCAGCATCTTACCTGACTGTACAAGTTGTACCTGTTGACATAGTTTTTGTGGAAAGTCAACTTAAGGTACTGGCCAACTGCATCCATGTAGACGGATTTCAGTTCTCGGGCCTTGTAGCTTGTCTTCTCATTGTCTGAGAGCGACACGTAACTGTAGTGGAGGGAGAGAGAAAACATGACAGAGTAATGGTGCCAGTTCTGTGAAGGTAGGGGCAGCTTCCAGGCGTGGTCACCACTTAAAGACATCATAACCTCACCTGGTGCTGAAGCAAATATCCCATCATGCACCCCAAAATAAAACACACAACATGACTGCCTGTTCACCTTGGCTACCTTGATTTTCCTCCCCACGTACCCATGCAAAAGCTACCACTGCAGCCAGATCCTTCCTCCCCACAAAAGGGATGGTTTCCATGAAGCTTTGTCTTAACCCTTTTCATTTTCACCCTCGCTGGAAGTGAAGCCTAATACCTATGGACAACGTTTCTCTTGCTGCTGCCATCTTGTACTCTCCCTTGGTGAACTTTAGATTGTAAGCTCCTAGAGGCAGGGACCTGGGTCTTTTGTGTGAGAGTCCATCTTACATTCCAGTCACCTCAACTAAGTTCCTGGAATAGGTAAAGTAAAGGTAAAGGTTCCCTTGCTTGAAAGCCAGTCGAATCCGACTCTAGGGTTGCGGTGCTCATCTCCGTTTCAAAGCCGAAGAGCCAGCGCTGTCCGAAGACGTTTCTGTGGTCATGTGGCCGGCATGACTAAACACCAAGGCGCATGGAACACTGTTACCTTCCCACTGAAGTGGTCCCTATTTATCTACTTGCAATTTCTTGCTTTCGAACTGCTAGGTTGGCAGGAGCTGGAACTAGAGACGGGAGCTCACGCCGTCTTGCGGCACCCGGGTCTCGATCTGCTGAACTACTGACCTTCCACAGCCTGCAGTTCAGCGTCTTAACCACTTGAGCCACCGCAGCTCCTCCTGGAATAGAGCAGACCTCAAATCATACTACATTTCAGTGGCTGATTGACTCTTGTTAGGGAAAACCAGAGCTTGGGCACCCTCAGGTATGCTTGCTTCCACTCCTTTAGCTGCTTTAGGGGTACTTCAAGATGGCAGCTTCCCTCTGCAAATGTCAGGTTACACCAGGTGTGGCACACAAGGTACCACAGGAACTGGTATGTGCTTGTATTAGCATTACTGCTGCTGGGCCTACAAGTCCATTTGGACCACTGAGAATCGCCACACACTGCTCCCCCTTGCGGCTCATCTGTGCCAGCTCAATGCAGCCAACACTCAAGCAATCCTCCAGCTCTTAACATTGTAACAACTACTTTGATTGGGTCAGATAAACACCGATGAGGGCACAGGGACATCTGCAGTAGGGAAGACCTACCCAAGTCTTCGGAACCTCTCTGACTTGTATGGTGCAAAGTACTCAGGCAGGTTATCGCTGATATAGAACTCGATTTTGCTGGAAATCATGTACTGGTGAGCCAGCAGCTGTAGTTTTCGAATTCTACATCGCTCCACCATCTGAAGGACGATCTCTTGGGGATACTGGCAGAGCCTGGAAGACACACGCAAGTCCTTCATCAGCCAAAAACTCAGATTACATTGCGGGGTGGGGGTGGGGCAGAGAGTTGGAGGCTTCATCTTCAGGAGCATCAACAGCAGGCACCAAACTCAGCTTGCCGGTTTTTCACAAAGAGATGGAGAAGAAAAACTGAAAAACTGAAAAAATATCATGCAAACGTACAAACCTTATTTCTTCACAAAAGAAATCTGTGAGGTACGTCATCAAATAAGCAGCAGTTTGATTAAGGCCATTTTGTATAGCCCAGAACTCAGCAAGGTTTTGAGTGTCAGCCTTTTCCAAATGCAAGCCTAACCAAACCATTTAAAACTAACTTCAGAAACTAAGCAGTGGTACAATAGGCTGATGACCACATTAAAATGTGCTTAGTACATTTTTATCTTGCCCTTCCCTCAAGGAGCTCAGAGCATTGTATATGATTCACTTTCCCCCATTTGATCCTCACAATAACCATGCAAGGTAGGCTAAAGGTGCTTGCCCAAGGTCATCCAGTGAATTTCATGGCAGAATGGGAATTTTGTTTTATTTATTAAAACATTTATATCCCACCTTTCTTTGTAGTTCAAGCTGAGGTTTGACACCTAGTGTGTGCTGTCCCAGACCCTAGTCCGGTTCTCTAACCACTATACAATACTAGCTAAGAAAGAAAGAATTAAAACCCAGCATCACTCTGAACATGAAGGATATAAAGCAGCCCCTCCCATACTTGCTCTACTGTAAGAAGGGGGAGAACCTGATCACGATGGTAGAAAACAGTTGCTAAACTATTTGGGCTCCAAGGGGAGTTTCAGAGATACTGCTTTCAAGACCAGCACTGCCTAAGTACGTGTCCTCCCTCATCCAAAACGGGGACTGGTCCGAAAGGCGCGGCGACGTGACGACGCAAGCTCGGCTGGAGCCAATTAGGCCGATGCAGGGATCGTCACAGAGTTGCGGGCGACGGAACCACCCAGCAGGAGCCGCTACAAGAGTCAAGCCAAGCTGAGCCACTGCGCAGAGTCAGAGGAAGGAGAGCCGCTGGATTGACAAAACTAGCCGGTAGGGTGCCTGATAGGCATTCCCCTCCCCAGTACTATGTGGCCCTAGCTAGGATTGTTAACTTTTATGCTGTAAACCGCTCAGAGCCCTTTGGGGGTGAGCGGTCTAGAAATTGAAAGTTAAATAAATAAAATATTCATAAACAGGTATCACAAAACCTGTATTCTTTTACTTATTAGAAACAGATCTTGCAGTGGTCAGTATAGGTGCCAGAAAAAATCCTACTAAAGAAGGAACTTTACTTTTACATACATACATTTGTGGAATTCATTTTGTGAGGGGATCCTTTGTCATGTTTTCCCAACACAATTCAAACACCTCTTGGCAACTAAGAGGGACAAACCCGCATTTTTAAAGTAAAGGATGAAATTCTCAAGAGGCCGGGGGAGGAATCCCCAATGTGGGGCCTGTGGGTGCCATGGTACCTGGTGGGGCTTTTGCCCAGCAAGGCTCTTGATTGGCTGTAGAGGTTTTTAAAACCAGTTCTTTGACAGAAGTGGCCACCACAGCACAAGGATCTTCACCTGTGTGACTGAAGGTAAGCTACGGCAGCCATTCTGTAATTGGCTCCGCCTCCGGTGGCAGCCATTTCGGGGAGTCGTTTTGTGGCTGTGCACCTTGTGTCAGAATTCCAAAGATGACCGCAGGCTCAAAAAGCTCGGGGACCCCTGGGCTAGAGACCCCATGCAAAGGTATTGCCAGAACCCACATGGAACCCACAAACCTGACACCATCTGAAATGGGGGCGAAGGCTTCCCTCAGATCTCTTTTTATTTACAGTACCTTGGTGACCTCCATCCATTGACGGTTGGTGCATGGACCATCAGTTCTTTTGCGCTGAAGCCATCTTCATGTCCTGATGAACTTATAACGATAAAACCAATCTTGTGTGGCATCCTGCCCCCCTTGATCTAACCAGAAACACACAAAACAAGAAAACAGCCCATCATTCCTTAGAAATCACATACTTCTGTTAAATCAGGGGCCATAGCCTTTACGCAACCTGTCTGAAGCCAGCTGGCCACATCCAGTCTCAAACTTACATCCTCTGAGTCCTCACTAATGATGCTGAGAGGTTTAAACACACTTATTTTCGCTAACCCCTCCTGTAAAACCTCTGAATATGATATCATTCCAGCAGACACACTGAAGGGCTTTTCATCAAGCTGGGATGGAAAAACATTTCAAATTCATAAACCTTTTTAGCAGTCCCCAGTTATAATCCTTTGTGAAGTCCAGACTGAGCCCATTTATTTCTGTGGGCTGAGACTGGAGCAACCGTGCACAGGATTGCACTGAATCTCATTCTTTTAAGCACAAAACTTCAGCACTGCACTACCTTCGTAGATTAAGGAACCCTGGATGAGAAACATTGTTCAAGGCTGCAGAATGTGCTCCTGACAGAGGTGAACCCATGGTCCAGCTTGACTCTAGCTAATAGACTGGACCATCTCTGGCTCTGCTACACCATTAAACTGTGGGTAAGGAAGAAAATGATATGAAAAGTTGAAGACAGCAGGAAAAGAAGAAGACCCAACATGAGATAGATTGTCTCTTTACGGGAAGCACAGCCCTCAGTTTGCAAGAGCTGAGCCGGGCTGTTAATGACAGGATATTCTGGAGGACATTAATTCATAGAGTTGTCATAAGTCGGAAGCGACTTGTTGGCACTTAACACACACACACACACAAGAACACAGCTCAGCATTCATTCTTCAGCACTGGCCAGCTCCCAACTAGTTAAAGCTCTCAAGCAGAGCACAAAAATTATCACTTCATCTATTGTTCATCCCTATTGTTAATCAGAGCCTCCGTTTGAACATGGAGTTTCCTTTTAACCATTACAGCTAAAAGCAGTTGCTGAATCCTTATATATTTGCTGAATCCTTAAGAAACAAAACAACCCCCCCAGAGGTTTTATGTGGCACACTAAGCTTATAACACAACAATAGTATTTATATATTTCAAAGCCACCCAGAGAAGTGCTCGAGGCGGTTTACAAAATTAAGAATGTTAAAATAACTACGCAGCAGCATTAAATAATAGGAAATCCAAAACCTATTTAAGAAAAAGGGGGGGAAAGCATAGCAGGAAGAAGAACAGCAAATGACAACAACAACAAGTCACCATGAGAGCCATAAAAATGGCCTGCTAAATGAAACAACTTCAGGTAGAACACAGGCAGTAAAAATAAGTGGTAAAACAGCTAGAAAAGAACTCAATTAAGAGCCTAGACAGATGAAATCTTCTTTGCCCCTCACTTAAAAGATAGCAGGGTAGGCCCCAGGCAAAATTCCATGTGGAGAGCAATCCACACATGGGGTATCACAACGAAAATGCCACATCTCTGCCTGCCACTTTCTTCACCTCCATGGGTGTGGGTACAAAGAGCAACATTTGATTTTAACTGGTAGGCAGCATACTATGGAAAAAGGGTGTGCTTCATGTACCTGGTCCCAAGCCATTTAAGGCTTCTAGAGACAACACTTTGAATTGTGCCTGGAAGCACTAAACAGCCAGTGCAGATCTTTCAACCCAGTATGATCTCTGTAACCAGTCCCTGAGTGTAGCTTGCCTATTTTGTACTATTTGGAGTTTCTGAACAGTCTTCAAAGGCAGCCCCACACAGCTCTGCTAGACTGCAGCCCATTCCCTGAGTTTATTGTAATCTTTGGTCATGAAATCAATCTGGCAGGCCTAGACCAAAAGCCACATAATGCAGCAGTCGGTCTCCAACAGCAGTAAGTTTTACATCCCAACAAAAGGCCAGTATAAAGGTGATGGTCATCCCCTATTGGTTGCGCCTAGTATCTGGGATTCAGAGGTAGACTGCCTTAGAAGGTGTGATTGAACTATACTGGTTAATAGCTGTCAATAGCCCACCCTCTTGATTAATTGGAATACTGCACCCAAGTACATGGACAGCATGCCTTTCATGATAGTACCAGGGGTAGCTGTGTTAGTCTATTGTGGCAAAATAAAGCAGGAGCTCAGGGGCATCTTAAATACTAACATTTATTCCAGCATGAGCTTGTATATGTCATAAAAAGTGATCTCTAACTCATGAAATCTTATGCTGGAATAAATGCTGTTAGTCTTTAAAGTGGCCCTCGACTCTTTCTTTATTACAAAAAAGACAGCCAGAGCTCGTTTCCTGCTTAGTAATAGTCCGCCTTTGAACATGAACAATCCATTTAACTTCCAGACATCCATCGCCCCTGCTAACTCCTCCCAGCTCTCAACAGTCATTGGAGGAACAAGAGGTAGCAGGCAGGCATCCTTTCAAAACTGCCCAGAGAACCTCCTTGTTCAAAAGCAGTATTTTAAATTAATATTTGTATCATTCCTAAGAGGCTTGTTACATGTCTGTAAGCTACTTTGGAAGCAAAAAAACCCAGCACTGCCCTCAAACACTGTATTATTACTTAGATAATTTGTATCCCGTCTTGTTCAGCGTACCAAAGTATGAAATAGGGGAGAACAATGTAAGCTGCTCTGAATCTCCTCTGGGGAGAAAAGTGAGATAGAAATGAAGCAAAAAAATTATATACAAACTTGTCTAGCTCCCCCTCTTTTTCTGAAAAAGGAACAATCTAAGACAATGCCCCCCCCACTACCAACATATGGCGTTCCTTAAGACTAGGGTTACCAACTCTGGGTTGGAAAATTCCTGGAGATTTGGGGACGGAGCCTGGGGAGAGGGATATAATATAACATACAGTCCACCCTCCAAAGCAGCCATTTGCTCCAAGGGGGGATGATTTCTGTATTCTGGAGATCAGTTATAATTCTGGGATAACCACCGGCCCCACCTGAAGATTGTAACAATTTGTTGCTCTTGTTCAGTTGCACAGTCGAGTCCGACTCTTCGCGACCCCATGGACAAGATCTCGCCAGGCCCTCCTGTTTTCCGCCGTCCTCTGAAGTTTGCTCAATTTCATGTTCGTTGCATCTATGACACTGTCCAACCATCTCATCCTTTGCCATCCCCGTCTTCTTTGACCTTCAATCTTTCCCAGCATCAGGGTCTTCTCCAGTGAGTGCTCCCTTCTCATTTGGTGGCCAAAGTATCTCAGCTTGTATTGTAACAATACAGCCCACTAAATGCTGTATCCAGGTAGTCAGCCGTGTTGGTCTGAAGCAGCGGAACAAACAAGTCCAGTGGCACCTTTAAGGCCAACAAAAGTTTATTCAAGGTATGAGTTTTCATGTGCAAGGTATGAGCTTTCTTGCACGCGAAAGCTCATACCTTGAATAAACTTTCGTTGATCTTAAAGGTGCCACTGGACTCTAAGTTTGTTCTAAATGCTGTATGTACGTGTTTTACAATGAACAATTACAACACCAAACCTTATCTCTTTCTACTGTGATTTCATATAACTAATATAAGTATATCGGCCAGCAATATCCATAATCAAAGTACATAGATATTAATAATATAATAATAACAATAATACCAAATTGATTCCAACAATCGAATCAGGAACAGAAACAAAACACGGATAACAGATCCAAAGCATTCTCATGTAGTTCATCAAGACGTTAGGTGTAATAACGACGGTGAATACAGACAAAGTCCTCTAGTTGTACCACGATCCTGCGGTTGTTGGCAACCCTACTTATAATAAGACACCTATACGTTTTTTGTGAAGAATTCCCTGAGGGCCCCCCCCCTTCTCTGTTCAGAGCCACCCTAGGCAAAAGCACGCCCCCACTGTCACGTACCTTCCCATGGGCCTTCCTTCTGGCGTGAGGGACCGCCGCCTGTCTATGCCAAGGAGGAGGGCAGAGGCCCACACAGCCGGGGCGGCCGCTCAGTTGGTCCCTGGAAGGCCTCTGAGGGGCACCCCCCCCCCGCTCCGTCTAACTAACCGCCCTCTTCTCCCCCCCACCTACCTTATTACGTCTCCATCACTAGGGCCGCTGATCTCCTAGCAACCGCTCGGGTGCTACTGCGCAGGCGCAAGTGGGTGCCCGGCAGCGCAAGAACGCTCGCCCGCTACTCTTGCGCATGCGTCAACGCGTCTCCCCTCCGCCTCCCTCTCCACTAACGCATGCGCTCTGTCTACTTCTCAGCCCTTCTGAGCCTTGGAGTTTTTTACAGTTGCGTGCGCGCCATAGATTAAAAGCTTCTCCATCCCCGCGACTGTATTCTGGTTAGGCATTTGGCTGTTGGGGTGGTCTGTTTGTCGTTCCAGCCGGCTTCTCCAGCAATACGAAATAGCTAATAAAGATCCCCCTCCCGACGTGTTTCCACTGTAGTTGTAGTGAAAATGGGAGGCTGTTCCTTTAAGAGCGAGGGGGCAGAACCATTTCTGGACGGATGTCCCTCTCGGCCAATAGGCGTCCTCTTCCGAGGATGTGTGTTCCCGGAGCAAAGATCGAGAGGTTGCTGGTTCGAGTCGTCTTTATGCCCCGATCATGTTGACGAAGCCGAAGAGTGTCAAAATCCGCAGCTTGGGTAGTGATCGCAAATACGGGGTGGCGGGGAGAAGCCTGAAAGAAGTGCTGTCTAAAGCCTGCGTCTTTCTCCAGGTGCTTGAGAACTTGTGGGAAGAGAATGCAAAGGGAAGGGTTGGGGAGGAAAGGGTAAGGAGTTCGTAAGCCGCTCTGAGACACCTTTGGGTAGTGAAGGGCGGGGTAGAAATCCAATCTCTTCTTCTTCTTCTTCTATTGGGACAGAAAGGGCGGCAGTATCGTGCAAAGAAAGCATTCCCAGCCTACGATCACACACACTAAATAATGCACGGAACCCACTTTCTTTTTATATATATATAAATTTATTTTCATTTTTTCATTTCACAAAGATATGTACATATATCCATTTAATACTTATACATTTCTTATTGTAAAATGTCCCTTTCTCTTTTATCATCCATTATCTGTTACTAGCAAGTTTGGTGTAGTGGTTAGGTGTGCGGACTCTAATCTGGGAGAACCGGGTTTGATTCCCCACTCCTCCACTTGCACCTGCTGATGTGACCATGGGTTAGTCGCAAGCTCTGGCACAGCTGTCCTTGAAAAAGAGCAGTTTGTGTCAGAGTTCTCTCAGCCCCACCCACCTCACAGGGTGTCTGTTGTGGGGAGAGGAAGGGAAAGGAGTTTGTAAGCCGCTCTGAGACACCTTTGGGTAGTGAAGGGCGGGGTATAATTCCAATGTCTTCCTCTTCTTCTTCTTCTTCAAAATCTACTGTATCTTCTTCAACTTCAGCCATTTGTAGATTACCTCCCATCCGCCCCAAAAAAGTTCCTCTGGTTTGTTCTGTAATGTCATACTCAGTTTGTCCATTTCAGCTATTTCCAGGATCTTCTGTTTAAGCTCTCTTGTTGATGGTATAGCTTTAGACTTCCAACGCTTTGCTATGAGGATTCTTGCTGCTGTTAGTAAATATACTACTATGTGTTTGTGGCACGGAACCCACTTTCAATGCACTTTCCAAATGGATTTGGCCAGTTCACACAGGAAAATCCAGTTGGAAACCACAGTATTTAGTGTGTGTGATCACAGCCCCCCCGTCTTGAGAGAGCTGCTGGTACGCTGCGGGAAAGAAAGGCATTTCTTAAAGACTCCGGTGTGCCTCTGTATGATTACCATCACTGGCCCCACTTCAGCCCTCAAGGAGCTGTGTATTCCTTCTGTGTCTCTGCGCCTCCCAGGACTGGATCTTTCAGTTCCTCCTGAGGCAGAGACAGCTGAATTGTCAACTTTCAAAAGAGTCTCCTTGCTGCATCTCTGCAGGAGTTGCTACACTAGTTTCTCCGTATCTTCAAGATGGTTGGGCCTTGTACATCTCTAAGTGCGCCCTAGTGTCAGTGCAGGTGCAGGGTGCATAAAATGCCAAGGCTTTGCTTCCCTTCCTCCCATACAGAAAGTTAATGTTGCTGACTGTTGGGCCCTGGCTCAGCACTGCAGACGGTCCCAAGTTCCACCCCAGCTGCCTGTCCCAAGAGACAATGGTGACCTAGATGTATCACTCTATATAAGGCAGCTTCATGTGTTCCTAGTGAAGCTCCCTTAATGGTACTTAAGTTCAACGAGGCAGTGTGCTCTGGTCCGTGGTGGGTTCCCGAGTTTTGGATGAGGTGTCAGCCTTTGGTCCGTGTCAGCTCCCTGATTCGATGCCTGGTTCTCCCAGCAGCTTCCTGTTTCCGACTGCCGACTGTGTTTGTATGAGGATGGCACGGAGGTGACAGAAAGTTATTTCCGTAATGTTCCAGATAACACCGAGCTTATCTTGTTAGCTCAAGGCGAGATCTGGCACGGCTGTAAGTATGATGGTGCATAAACGCAAAAGAAAGAACACAATTTGGTTGTCAAAAGTGACACATTTTTTTTTGTATGGCAGAATTTAGATCAGAACTAATGCCCGTAGCGGTTTTAACATCTAGCTGGCTTTTAACTGCTTTTCACCCCCTTTCCCCCATGCTGATGTAAATTGGGGGTGTCAGGAATTGATATTATGGCGCCGTGCAGAGGTTCGGGTTTACGGATTGGGATTTTAGACTGTGTATTGTATTTGTATGTATTTTTATGAACTTTGCTGTGCACCGCCCTGAGCCCGCTGGCAGGGAGGGCGGTATAGCAGCCTAATGAAATAAATAAATAATGCCCAGCTTTGTATAAAGCAGTTTTTAAAACATGGATACATTTTAATCACTTGCAATGGACACACAGTTATCCAAGGATTAACTTTTTGCCATTTTAAACCCCTTCATAAAACCTGGCAGCCTGCAGCTAGAAATTGAGCCAGTAATCCCTTTCCAGTCTCCCTCTGACACATAACCAGGCCACTTCTATACGCACTAACAACAAATAATGCCGCTTGCTCTTAAGCCCCATGGGAAGTTCTTCTGTCCTCTGCTTGATAAACTTATCCTTGTCTGGTGTCAGCTGCCCATGAGATTAGAACTCTTGCTTGATCCTTCTGCTTTAGAAGTTAGAATATTTATGAACATTTCATGATCTTGGAGAGACCTGGAGGGCAGCAATGTATTTCCATGCATCCATGTGTCTCCATGCATCTTAGTGGAAGTTGGGCAACCCCTTGTCAATGCTGATGGGAAGATTTTGACCTCACTGCAGCACTATCCCCAAATGCAGTGCTTTCTTTTTTCCTTGAATGAATGGCACTGGTAGCCTGGCAAAAAGAAAGGCGTACTTTGAGGGACAGCAGGGTAGTGGTGCGCCCCCCCCCCCCAGTAATTCCAGTGTTTGGAGAGGCACATACTGTACCCTCATCCCCCGTTTCCTTTTGCAGCCTGTTTACACCATGCCCAAGAGCTCCAGTCTGCTATTATCTGAATAGAGTTGTTCATTTCTCTATGCATCCTTGCTTTGGGGTCTCATTCACAAACAGGGATATTTTAACATTTCTCATCCCCACTATTTCAACCCAAATAACACTCCTTTTGATGTTGATCCTCTGTTATGAAAATCAAATCTCCAATTTTTAATTTATGGTCATTTTCTGTTTTCTTGCATCCCATTTCCCCCGGTTATATCTCAGTGTCACATGCACCAATAGATGAACATTTACTTGACATATAAGTGATGGACATATAAATAAAACCAACAGTGAAGCAGAGAATGGAAAACCGTATAGATGATTGTAAGGAGAAATGAGGTTGGGGACATTTGCTCATTCCAGCTGGCTTCTGGGAAGAACATGGAAATGTAATAACGTGAGAGGAGGTCTGCTGGATCAGACCAGTGGTCCATCTAGTCTGGCATCCTGTTTCACACAGCGGCCCAGCCAGTTTCCGTGGAGGGCACAGATGTTGCCTCCTAGCACTGTGCGTTTCAGAGGTTTACTGCCTCTGAATAGGGTCTTTGTTGGTCTTTCATGCCTGGACCTTTGGTGGAAACTGGCCAAGGCAGCATTTTTTTTTAATACTTTCAATTTATTAATCGCTTTCCCCAGTGGGCTCAAAGCGATGTACAGTTACACATTTTAGACAGGGGACTAACAATGTTCATAGGGGATAGGGAAGACAACATATATTCATTTAATTTCACACGCTGTCACTGCACGGTGTAAACGTCTTCTGGCTTAGCTCAGTCATTTTCCGAACGGCTGCTTGTCGACCAGGCTTCAGGACCCGTATGTCACATCGCCACACTGCCACCGCCTGGCCAGAAACATCCACTGCAGGGATTTTTGTGGCCGAGAAGTTCTTCCGCCTTTTCCCAACTTCGACCAGGACGTCCCGTCCGTCAGCTAACACCCTCCCACAAGGGAGATTGGTGTGCCCACCCTCTCTAAGGAGTGGTTCCCATTTTATCTACTCGCCGAAGCTTTCGAATCGCTGGGTGGACAATGAGCTGGGGACAACAGACTGGCTGCTCACACCAGCGCGGGGCTCGAACTAACACAGTTCGGATGTTAAGACAGTGGGATATACCCACTGTGCCACCGCTCCCCTATTTAAGCAACTGGCCGAGGCAGCATTTATGTCAAGCTCAGTATCCATCTGGGAACTCTTTTCTACCCTGTTTGGTCAACTGAAGATTTCCTGGACATGTCCTGGGGAGTCTCTGTATGTAGCAAAAGATTCTGGTGTATGTTTCTATGGCACGCTTACAACTCCTGTGAGGGTTGGCCAGCCTGGGTATAATAAACGCATCCAATGTTCCTTGGCAGTTGGCCCATGGCAAGCAAATTTGCTTGGTGGGACAGCTGTCTTTCACTTTTCATTGAGGAACCCTGTCAAGCCTCCCCCCCCCACTGCCCTAGAACACAGTTTGTAGTGAGTAAGTCAAGGGACTTGATTAAAAAAGCAAAGAAATGCCACGTTGACCCATTGCTGCCATACTTGTCTTCTCCCCCTGCCTTTAACAATTGCAGACGTGAGTGAGATCCAGCGCTTTCTCAGGGCCTCTTCCAGCCAGACAGATGATATCATTCATGCGGCGCAGGGGCTGCTCTCCGAGGAGAAAGCCCCCAAGTGGCGGAAGCTGCTAGCGGATCTCATTCAGAACCTCAGTGAGAATATTTCTGCCGAAAGCAGAGAGGAGGATGAGAAGTGGTTTGAAGGTAAGTTCTGCCTTACTCTGGGCGCGCAAGAAGGATGCGTGTGTATCTTTTTGGGAGCAGACTGAGAAGATGCTCTTACGTAAACCTGAGTGTAAAGCACTGGTTTTAATCTAGAAAAGCCCATGCTCCCGTGGAACACTGGTTAATGAATTCCTGGAGTGGGTTCTGTTACATGCTCTGCATATTATTGATTTACTTCATTTAGACCCCATTTGCTTCCCCAGTGGGGGACCCAAGGTGGCTTACGTAATTCTCCTCTCCTCCTTTTTATCATTACAACAACCCTGTGAGGTAGGTTAGGCTGTGTGGGGGCAGTGAAGAAATAGCTGCGTGGCAGACCGGGGTAGGAATTCACTGTTCCACTGTTCTCCTGGCTGTTCTCCTGGAAATTGGGAACCCAGGTATCAGGCTAATTGCACAAGGCAGAAACATCTGCTGATGTGCTGAGTTCATCATAAGAAGCTACCTTGGCAAAGGGATTTTCAAATTAAAATAATAAAAGGGATGACATGTAGGCACAGTGAAGAATTCACTGCTCTCCTGTTCTCCTGGCTGGAGATTGGGAACCCAAATGTATATACGTACTGAGAGCCCGAGATGGAATCTGTTAACTGCTTAATGACGCAGTCGGTTTGGCCTTGGCAGAGTTGCGAGAGAGAGAGAGATAGCAGACAGCTGCCTGTACACACACACACACACATTCCTTAGTTCATGTCTCATGACAGGATGCTGTAATGTATGAAAGGGAGGGGGAAAGGAGGAGACGGATTATTCAATAAATATAGCTGGTGAGTGAGAGGATTCATTCAAGATTCATTCAGTCAGTCAGCTTTCTGCAGAAGCTGTTTGTGTCGTGTCTTCTTTGAACCCCGGCAACTACAAGGCTGAGCGTGTGTGATTGGCCCAAGGTCCCCCAGCAAGCCATGGCAGAATGGAGATTTGAACCTGGTTGTCCCAGAGCCTAGTCCAACATGCTAACCATCACATCATGCTTTCTGATCCAAAGAGTTGGTATTAACATGTGAACAAATGCAACCAGAATGGGTCAGTTGCCCCAGACTTGTTTATTCCGTAAGAGCTGCACAACTCCCTTTCTTCTCACTTCAGCTCAGAAACGCAGGCATGCAGAACTGAGTTCAGATCTTGCCAGCTGCTCTTGCAGTCTTCCTGCCACTGGGTGCAGTTGGCCTTGCTCTCTGTCTCTTAACATCTTCTCATCCCTGGGGTAACCAGAACCAGCCAGCAGCCTGGCCTTCAACCACAGTTCACCCCCCACCTGCTTCACTGTGCTGGGTTTCAAATTCTGAACCTTTTACCGGGATTAGAAACTTGTGAAAGCTCAAACCAGTTTTTTTTGTTGCCTTCGGATTTTAGAAGAGAATTTAAGATTGAATTTCAGAGCTGCATTCAAAGAAAGAGACCCGTTTATAGAAAGCAAGGCTTTTTGAGGCGGAGGGTTAATGGTTTTCTTTTTGCCTCTTCTAGGGATTGAATCTCGCTTTAAGACAAAATCCAGTTACATGCGCTACAGCTGCGAGAGCAGAATCCGAGGCTACTTGAAAGAGGTAAAGCTGTGCTGATTCACTGTACAAATCAGCATTATGTGTTTCTTAAGGCTTTTCATATGCTTTTGTATAGTGAAGCTTTTAACCAACTGACAATGAGAGCCGGTTTGGCGTAGTGGTTAGGGGCATGGACTCTAATCTGGGAGAACTGGGTTTGATTCACCAGTCCTCCATATGCAGCTAGCTGGGTGACCTTGGGTCTGTCACAGTTCTCTCAGAGCTGTTCTCTCAAGAGCAGTTCTCTCAGAGCTCTCTCAGCCCCACCTACCTCTCAAGGTGTCTGTTGTGGGGGAGAGGAAGGGAAGGAGTTTGTAAACCACTCTGAGAGAAGGGCGGGGTATAAATCCAATTTTCTCCCCCCAAACCCATTGAATTCAATGGACTTAGAAAGGTGTAACTCTGTTTAGGACTGCACTGTATGTGAAGTGTGGCCTTTGCCTTCAAGAAAGTATTCTGTTCTAGCAGTGAAAGGTAATGAGAGATTTTAGGAGAGGTGAAAAATGTAGCCTGTTCCAGACATAAAGGCAAATGTGATATGAAATGCGACCCCATGAGAGGGAGGTGGCAAAATGGCTTCCATTCCCCCCAGGTTACCAAAATGGCTTCCTTTCCCCCCCAGGTTACCAGTTATGCCTCTGCTGTCCATCCGGCTGCCCAAGCCAAGTATAAAACGCTCGTGGAAGCAATGGTTGAGAAACTGAAGTCAGAGAGATACAACGGCTGTTATTTCGACAGGAGGGAAGACGAGAAGGTGTGTCTTTGCACAACAGAGGGCTGGTTTTCCTGTCAAGTAAGTCTCGACTGTTTTCAAGAAAACCCAACCCTTTAATTTTTTCCCCAGGGTGCTCTTTAAAATGAATGGAGGTCTGCCAACCAACTAGGGACTGACAGTCTAGGTCTGTTTTGCCCTTGAAGATGATCCAGCCTTAGTTGATATCAGGTAGGCTGGGACCCATGGGGTGACTGCTCCTAGACCACCTCCAGGAGGAGACATTGGGTCAAACTGGCCTTCTGGATCAAACTGTTTTTTCTTCCCTGAAATGTCTTTGAATTGAATGGTTTTATGGTAATTCTGTGAAGAATTTAAGTTTCGGTTTATTTGTTAGCTGCCTTGAGGGCCTAATAACTACGTGTTCCCCCATACTGGAAAACATTGTTGCTGCATGGAAAGCTAGCACCTCAAGGTGATGTATTTTGCATAGCCCTTTCCTCGATATACTGTGTATTATGAGCAGGGAGCCTTCAGAAGGGGAAGTCTTCAAAAGCTGCCTGTTATGGTCTGAAGGATTCCTCTGCCACAACCTGCACAGCTTGTGGGAGGGCTTTCAAGAGTCAGTGGCTGTTGTGTCCTTACAGGGCCCTTTTGACAACGAAAGCTGCCCTTGCAGACACTCAATCAATCCCTACGGAAACCGGGAAAACAGGATCCTCTTCAGCACCTGGAACCTCGATCATGTGTACGTATGGGATGACATCCAGCCAGTTTTGCTGGCATTCAATTAGAGCTGTTAAATACACTGACAGCCAGTTTGGTTGCAAGGAACTGTGGGACTGGGGAACAATCCCATCCATTCCTTCAAAAAATGTCCCACTTGGGTAGTTCTAAAAGGGCCTGAGCAAATTAATCCCCCCCCCCCCCCGCGCGTCTGTTCCCCCCCCCCCCCCCCGTTGCTCTCAATGCTTTATCTCTTTCCGGAGCATTCTCAGTCCTCATTAGGCTGGTTTGGTGTTGTTTTCCTTTTGATTAATTTACAAAAATCACATTTCCCTGCATACCCGTAGAGTTCCCTTGAGTAGTTTGGTGTAGTGGTTAGGAGTGCGGACTCTGATCCGGGAGAATGAGGTTTGACTCCCTACTCCTGCACATGCAGCTGCAGGTGTGACCTTGGGTCAGTTACGAGTTCTTTCAGAGCTGTTCTCTCACAAGCAGTCCTTGAAAGAGCTCTCTCAGCCCCACCTGACAAAGTGTCTGTTGTGGGGAAGGGGAGGAAAAGGAGATTGTAAGCCGCTCTGAGACTCCTTCGGGTAGTGAAGGGCAGGGTATAAATCCAATCTCTTATCTCTTCTTCTTCTCAATAGATTTCTACCCCGGGAGGGCAGGGTAGAAATTTAATTAATAATAATAATAAAAATGTGTTGCTCCATTGGGCAGCTTTCCTCATCCATAAGAGGGACAACCAGTTTACTATATGTGACTAAATCCCCCCCCCCCCATTTCCCCCTCATGGAAATCAAGGAGGCACTTGTAAACATAAGAACATAAGAGATGCCAATGTTGGATCAGGCCAAAGGCCCATCCAGTCCAACACTCTGTCACACAGTGGCCAAAAATACCAGTGGCCATCAGGAGGTCCACCAGTGGGGCCAGGACGTTAGAAGCCCTCCCACTGTTGGCCCCCCCAAGCACCAAGAAGACAGAGCATCACTTGCCCCAGAGCTCCTATCTATACCTTGTGGCTAATAGCCACTGATGGACCTCTGCTCCATATGCCTATCTAATTCCCTTTTGAAGCTGTCCATGCTTGTAAAGTTCCCAGGCACTCACCAGATCCCTACCTGCTTAGCTTCTGCCAGGTTGCTATGCTTCAGACAATCATCTGGTGTGGGGAAAAGTGTTTGAAAGAACATTCCCCCCCCTCCCCCATAATTACAGAAGTTGACATGGTTGGCTACAGTGTTTTATGGGCCCTTGGGAACACCGTGTCCTTGGGTCCCTCCACCACAGCTCCTCCTTTCCTCCCATCTGCAGTCTCCTTTTCCTTTCACCAGACTTCAGCCAAAACCCTTTTGCTGCAACCATGAGGACTAGGAACTTACTTTCGTCTCCCACATTTAAAAAGGCAAAACAAAACCCGATATTTGCAGGATGAATTCTGCAGGTTTTTTACATTTGCAAGGAATACAGACCACCAAACTGGATTTTTTTTTTGCGATTCTTGTGAGCCTTGATTTCTAAAAAGGCCAAGGGGGTGCACAGTGTTGAAATCTAGCACTTCTCTTTTACTTCCCCCCCCAGAATCGAAAAGAAACGGACTATCCTCCCGACATTAGCTGAAGCCATCTCAGCCCGTGACAGAAAGGAAGTCAGCTGGGAATACTTCTACCAGTTGTTGTTCACCGTCGAAAACTTGAAACTTGTGCACATTGCCTGCCACAAGAAAGCCAACCATAACCTTAGTTGTGACAAAACCAAGATCTACCGAAAACGAAGGCACCTCCGCAAGATCCCAGAGAAACGCATTCTGAAAGTAGTTTGCCATAAGCCTGTTGCCTAAGCCCGAGGACAGAACATTTTCAGAGCTGTAGGGTCAATGGGAACCACTTATTTCTGCTGTGTTCTTCGCTTGTCTGTGTTAATGACTCTTGTGAGTGCCTATTGGCTAGTGCCTGTGACATTTCTCAGACATTTAGCACACGTTAACATCGAATATGCTGAGCAGTTTGCCAACTGATTTTGGTTTTAAGGCAAAGGAAAACTGCATATTATCTCCAAAAATCTTTTTGTCGTCTGGTGAGGGGAGGCGGTCATCTCAGCACCAAGTGGAAGATCAGAAGTAAGTAACAAGATAGACTTGTGCTCTTCATTACCTTTTCCAAAACCCAGGTGGAGAAGGAAGATCCTGCCTTTCACCAGACTGCTTTGTATGAGCTAGTGGACCTGGGAGGAGAGAGGAGCTTCTGCAGCAGGCAAAATGAAAGTCCCTTCCCCGCTGCTTAAGGGGGAGAGGGTACTATTGGCAACCACATTTGTCGATTTTTTTGCATACACCTAAAAATGTATGAATGAGAGAAATGTGCTTGGAAGCAGGTTCTTTCTTGAATGCATTCATCAGAGCCAGGACTGGTAGCAGCTAGGAGGCAGGGGTCTGAGCTCAGCGACAGACCAGATGAGATTCCTGTTCAGCTCTCTGCTCACTTGGGAGCCAGCGTGCTGTAGGGGTTAGAGGGCCAGAGGGGGATCTGGGAGATCTAGGTTCGATACCCCACTTGTGCCGTGGAAACTCACTGGGTGACCTTGGCCTCGTCAGCCTCTCAACCTGTCCTACCTCACAGGGTTGATGTGAGGATAAAATGGAGAGGAGAATGATGTAAGCCACTTTGGGTTCCCTCTGGAGAAAGGTGGGGTATAAATGAAGTAAACAGAACAAAATACAGTTCCGAGTCCAAGCATCTCCAGTTAAAGTGTCTTAGCAAGCAGGGTTGGAAAAGATGGGACGTTTCAGAGCAGACAGCGTTATGTAAGACAGTTTTATAATGTTCATAAGCCCAAATTTTCTTCCCAAACTACATTGTAAGCAGCTATAAATTGTGCAGCAGGGACAGCTAACATCACATTCTTCTTTAGAGCTTTCAATTTGGGTTTTCTGGCAGATGCCGGAATCCTTAAACAGCCCAGCACTGATAAAATGTTGCTTAATTCCAGTGGGTTCTCTAGTTTCATTCGGCACTACCACCCTAAATATTCCTACCCAGCATCGGAACCCACCGAGGTCAACGTGACAGGCTTCTTACTAAGTGTTTGTATTAGGCCCAGTGTCCTGCATGCAGTCCTTTTTACAAGAGAACGGTGGTGTGCCAGATGGAATGCACAGCCAGTTGAAGTCTCAAGATCTCAAATATGTAATATGCTTGTTTAATTCAGCGCAGTAGCTGTTCAGCTCCGAGTACTTAAATGATTGAGTTTACCATTGACAAAATGGGTTGATTTGACATGTGTGGCATTATAGCTTTGCACTCCCGGTACAAATGCCATCTACAGTCGCACCCCACTGCTGGGCGTCATTTACTTGGCATTAATGCCCAGAGTTCCAAGCATACCCAGCCTCCCCACTGACCTCCTGGTGCTTGTTTGCTATACAGAATAAAGAACAGCTTGGGGTTTTTTTTGAAGCTCGCATCCAGCTAGCCACGAAACAATGTAAAGAACCTGTTTTCCAAAAGATGAATCACACAGCTCAGGAAAGAGCCGATTCCTCAGGGATTAAAATGATTTTGCATTTCTTCAAAAGCTTCCTGCAGTCACTGTGGGGAGTCTCTATCCATTGTTACAGACTGACAGAAGGCAGCAACAGGAGAAAAAAATAGCACAGAATATCTGTGCTTAAAACTGGATTCTGCTGGTGGCAGAGAGTTCTTTACTGCCCCGAGATGTGAAATGGGTGTGAAATATTTCGGGTAGCAGTTCCCCAAATATCTACTATAAACCAACTCACTGCATGCCTTGCTTAGTGTAGTGGTTAGGAGCGTGAACTCTGATCTGGGAGAACTGGGTTTGATTCCCCACTCCTTCACGTGCAGCTTCTGGGTGACCTTGGGTCAGTTACAAGTTCTTTCAGAGCTGTTCTCTCACGAGCAGTTCTCAAGAGAGCTCTCTCAGCCCCACCTACCTCCCAGGGTGTCTGTTGTGGGGAGGGGGAGGGAAAGCAGATTGTAAGCCGCTCTGAGACTCCTTTGGGAAGTGAAGGGTGGGGTATAAAGCCAATCTCCTCTTTTTATAGTTCATTAAAGGTTCCTGGAAGAGCCCAAATTAGGAGGAGTTATCTCCTTAATGTGAGCTATGCTGGTTGCTAGCCATGCAGATAGGGCTGAGAAAAGTGATGGATCCCTCCCAAATGTGAATGTAGCCTCATTTCATCTATCAAGAACAAAAAAGGGAAAGAAACTAAACCTAACAAAGAACTCCAAAACCAAACAAAGGTTAGTGGAAAGGAGGGCCAATATTAAAACCTTTTTATAAAAAGAGGTACATGTACCTCTTTTTATAAAAAGGTTTTAATATTGGCCCTCCTTTCCACTAACCTTTGTTTGGTTTTGGGCCTCATTTCATCTATGCCATTCATGGTGTTAGTAAAGGTTTCCCTTGCTCGAAAGCCAGTTGAATCCGACTAGGGATGCAGTGCTCATCTCCGTTCCCAAGCCGAAGAGCCAGTGCTGTGAAGACATGACTAGACGCCAAGGTGCATGGAACGCTGTTATCTTCCCACCGAAGCAGTACCTGTTTATCTACTTGCAATTTCTTGCTTTCAAACTGCTAGGTTGGCAGGAGCTGGGACCAGAGACGGGAGCTCACTCTATCATGCGGCACTCGGGTCTCGAACTGCTGAACTCCCGACCTTCCGGTCTGCAGTTCAGCATCTTAACCACTGAGCCACCGCAGCCCCTTTGTCTGCTAGTTGCGGGCTTTCCAAATCCTGTATTGGTCCCCCCATGACACCTCTCCTAGGCCCAGATCACCAAAGTAGCTCAGGAGACGAGCTGGGCAAAAAGAGGTGCAGGCCATTCTCATGGAATCCCTGCACTAAAAAGAAACCGTAGACTGCGGAGAACAACAGAAAGCCCACACAAGCAGCCCACTGATGATTTTAAGAAAGCTAAAGTGATTCTTCCAGCTGCGGGGGTTCCCTTTTCCCCTTGACCAGGATGACTGTGTTAACAAGTGAATACAATCTGACAATACGGGACAGGAAACGAACTCCTCCTGCCATCAGCTGTTGCTTGACAGATTTCTTCTAAGGGTCTCCTGCCTCACATCCGTTCAGATTTCATTCTGCTCAGGGGAGCCAAAGGGATTCCTGCGCACCACCACCCTTGGCTTAAGGAATGATTCTCTATGGCTGCTGCAGATCACTATGTAGGTCCCTATCCTCACATGTCCCCTGCTGGCAGGGCCAGGGCAGGATGCCTCACCTTTTGAGATCTGACAGCCTAAGCCGGTGGCTTTCCTAGCATGTTGGAACGGTTCTGTCCACACAAATGATCAAGGATGGGAAGGCCAGGCTTCCCAGAAGGTGAATTTGCTGACCCCACTGCCAATGCTGGTCCACAGAATACAGCTAGAGGAGTACGAGGTGTACCTTAGGGCACACTCAGCATACAGGGGGTGGGGTGGGGGGGTGGGACGGACAGTAAAGCCCCCTTGGAGATGGGGAGTGTGCTCAAGACCGTTTCTTAGACTCCTCTAGCGCATCCTCCTGCTTCTCAGCAAACAAACCAGTACAGAAAGGGTTCCAGGAAGGGGGCCGTTTGAAAGATGCTGTCCCAGCCTCAGCACTGTGCTGCTCTTTTGTGCCCGCTTTTACCGTTCACGAGAACATAGCAGCAGCTGTGCAGGGTCCAGCCAATGTTCCATCCGGTCCAACTTCTTGTTCCTATCGGTAGCCAGAGAGAGATCTGATTGGGACAGCCACAAACAGGGCCGGCTGGCAACAGCCCTCCCCTTCGGACTGCTCCCTGGCTTTTGACGACAGACCTTCCACCTGTAGACCAAGATGCCCCACTACATTGCCATGGCCAATACATCCCCCATAAATCTATCCCGTGCCCTTTTAAAGCCCGCAGCCAACACATCTCCTGGCAAGGAGTTCCACTCCAACTACCAAATCTAACCATTCTTTTTTTTAAAAAAATGTCCATTTGGAACCGGCCCGGAAAATCATGGGACTGCTTGCATTAAACAGAAAAGAGAGAACACGACACTCTCTTTCTGCAGTTACTTACGATCAATGTTCCCTCTAAGCTGTGGAGTCTTGTGAGCAAAAATCCCACTTTGTGAGCTACGGGCATTAAAGTTGTGAGTGAGCGATTTGGCTGCTGCATAAATTAGTTTGCTCTGGAGCCCTCCTTCCTGAGCTAAGGCAAACATCTGTGAGCCAGAGGTTAAAAAACTGTGAGCTAGCTCACACTAACTCACCTTAGAGGGAACACTGGTTACGCTACAGCGAAATGAACAGACTAGTTGAGGATTCTCTCTTTTTAATTAACTCCACGCGAAGCTTCCCCAGCCCACAGCAGTAGCTGCCCAAGTAACCATGGCACAAGAAGAATCAAGAACAGGCAAAGCGGACTGTGGGTTCCCCCCCCCCCATAGAGGGGCCGCAACAGTCAGACTGGGTGAACTCACAGAGTTCGTATGTAGGGGGAGGTCCCCAGTGGTCTCAAGGTGTCCTTTGCCGGTCAGACTTCAGAGAGCAGAAGCCAGCGAGAAATCAGGGATGTCCCACTGCACCCCGACAAACACTTCCAAGCAACGTAAGCATTGTGCGTATCAAGCGTAACACTGCAAAAAGTCCAGCATTGATGCAAAAGGAGAAAAGCGACAAGTCCAAAAATCAGGACGGTACAAAAACTGATGGAGGAGGAGCCCGCGCCTCCTCTAACTGCTGGTGTCCTCTCGCCCACGAAGAGGCAAGAGAATGTACAGGCGTAAGTGCTTTAGAATCTACTGTAAAGCAACTTGTTCCGCCCAAGACCCAAACAAGGATCAGTGCCTTTTTGCAGAAGGAAACGTGCTTCCTTCTTCAAAAAGGGAAATCTAGTCACACAAAGTTTCGTTCTTCGCACGCCTGGCACGTAGAAGAGGCCTTGCAGCAGAACGGGAAGGCAGATCTTTGGCAGGCACTCAAACGACATCATCATCTTCATCCTCCTCCTCGTCATCCTTGGCTATGAAGTGTAGCTTTCGGAATTCTCGCCTGTTGGTGGGACTGGCGATTGTATTGGGGGGTCGGGGGGGGGGGGGGGAGGAGAAACAGCCAACAGTTGTTTTAACTCAGAAGTTGAGGTTACTTCAGACACATGAGGCAGGCATTCTAGGTATCGTGATCATGTGCATGCAGACTCATCTCATAGGCAGGGCCTTGGCTCTGACCTCACAGATGAGCAGAATTTGAAGAAATCATGCAAAACAAGGGAAGGGGGCCATTATGGTTGCCATTGCCCAGAAGGAGGGTTGTAATGGGGGTGAAGTGTCCTGAGAGAAAAATTAAAAAGAAAAACAATGCTTTGTCTACTTACAGGAAGTTCTTACCACAGAGTTACTGGCAACTCCTAGAGCTACCCGGAAGTGACAAACGGTAGCTCTAGGAATCGTCAGAAACTCCACAGTAAGGACTACCTGTAAGTACACAAGGCCTTATTTTCCTTTTCAGTTTTTTTCCCAAGGCAACAGTGACTTGGCAGCCCAAAGGAGCATGCATCTAAACACTAATGCTACCAAAGTAGTAATTTCTCCTGCTCAGCCTACCTGCATAAATGCCACGCTTCCAAAGAAGCGGTCTACTGGCAGTGGCTGGTTGCTGTCCTCATTCAGGAATGCGCTGTTATCCAGCTCAAGGAAACAGTCCTGCGCCTCCTCAGGTTCCATTTCTGAGTCATCTGAGGAGCCAGTTCCACAGTTCTCCTCTTCTCCCTCTTCGTTTTGGATACCAGGCAGGAAGAGAGGCTCATTGGCAGCCTTTGGTGAGCAGTCATTTGCACCAGGGACAGACGATTCTGCACCAAGTTCAGCTTGGTCAACCAGTGATTCCGCACTGATCTCTGGAATCCCTTCTCCTTCACTTTGCAGCATCATCCTGAGGACGGGTGGGCTCGGTGAGCACTCATTCGCTCCTGATATTTTGTTCGCTGGCTCCTTTGAGAAGATGCCGCCGCCGCCGCTGCTGCTGGCGCAAACATCCACCTCGGGTATCTTCAACTTTGCTCGATTTCGCTTTTCACATTTCAGCTTCTTTGGAGGGCGCCTGTCAGTGGCTTTGCGTGAAGGACCCTGGGATTAAAAAAAGAGAGTCTCAACTGCCCGTTTCCGGCATGGTCTGGCCGAAAAGTTGTCGACTAGGAATCTCCACACAGCAATCGCAATGGAAAGAGATGCACAGAATACTTACACCACACTTTTAAAAGGGTATTTATTTGGTTTCTAGCCTGCCCTCCCCTGCACTACAAAGCTCAGGGCAGGTTACAACCATATGATAAGATACAATGCAACTAAATAATTAAACATAATTATCAACAATTGTTAAAATCAAAATTTATGGTGCCATTTAATACCACTGCTCTTGAGCCAACTCCACATATGTACACAGTGGATAGTAACTGATAATACGGGGGAGGTGGATAGGCAAGTAGAAACAGTAAAAGATGGAAACACTCCGGGGGAAGTCCGTGCTAATAGGTTTCCGCCCCCTCAACCATAGGCCTGGCGGAACATCTCCGTTTTGCAGGCCCTGCGAAACGGCATTAAATCTCGCAGGGCCCGGATCTCTCCTGGGAGAGTGTTCCACCAGGGCAGCGCCAAAGCCAAGATGGACAGTAAGACAGAGACACCCATAAACAAGCTAGGAGTGTCAGAATACTCAAAGGGCATTCCCAGATATGCCAAAAAAAAATAAGTTTGTTAATTAAAAAAGACAAGGACTGGGCATGCCCATTTTCTTTCTGTGACACATTGGAGACTAGCTTGCATTCACCTCACCATCACCAGCTAGTAAAGGTAAAGGTTTCCCTAGCTTGAAAGCCAGTCGAATCCGAATCTAGGGGGCAGTGCTCATTTCTGTTTCCAATCCAAAGATGTTTCCGTGGTCATGTGGCCGGCATGAATAAACACCAAGGTACACGGAATGCTGTTACCTTCCCACTGAAGCAGTACCTACTTGCAGTTTCTTGCTTTCTAACTGCTAGGTTGGCAAGAGCTGGGGCCAGAGACGGGAGCTCACTCCATCACACAGCACTAGGGTCTCAAACTGCCGAACTACAGACCTTCCAATCTGCAGCTCAGCATCTTAACCTCTGAGCCACCCCCCATCACCGGCTAGCACACAACTATGCTACCAGGGTCCACCCTTAGCCTCATGCCCAGGAGTGTCCTTGTTTTCATCTGTAAGATGTTGAAAGGTACACTTAGCTAGTGCTTGTAATGTTCAAAGCACTTCATGATGTGACCATTACCAAAACAACTCTGCGAGGTAGGCCAGTAATAGCCTCACATTGAAAGGAGGGGGGACTGACTTTATCGAATGAGTCTTGTTTAAGGCCACCCAATAAGTCTAGAGCAGAGATGAAATTTGAACTGGGGACTTCCTAATGTGTAGCTTGATCTCTTGGCTAGTATGGCCTCACTGTTCTATTATAGTTCCATACTGCTTTTCAGCCAATCGTTGCCCAAAGCAGCTCATGTCAAGAAATAAGGGACAAGACCAGCGTTCCCTCTAAGCTGAGTTAGTGCGAGCCAGCTCACATTTTTTAAGCCTCCAGCTCACAGGTTTTTGTCTTTGCTCACAACTCCAAAGCCAGGAGCTCACAAAGTAGAATTTTTGCTCACAAGACGCCTTAGCTTAGAGGGAGAACTGGACAAGACCCAGAAGCGTGACCGCCCCTCACAATGTCTGAATGAAAGTCCCAATTTATACCATGAAGCTGCCTTATATTGAATCAGACCACTGATCTAACAAGGTGAGCATCATGTACTCTGACTGGCAGCAGCTCTCCAGGTAGAGGTCTTTCACATCACCTGCTACATGGAGATGTCAGGTATTGAACCTGAGACCTTCTGCATGCCAAGCAGATGCTCTACCACTGAGCCACAGCCGCTCCCCAGGTGGGACCAGTTTAATCACCCCCTCCCACTAGTGTTTTCAGAGGAAGGCAACCCACTCTTCTCCAAGGGCTCCAGAGTGGGCCAGAACAAAGAGTTTTATCTCCCTTGCTTCTGTAGTCCTAGGCTGTTAGCAGAGCTTCTTCTGGTAGGAAAGGGACATGCAAGCTCTCTGTGGCTGTTCATCCTTTGGCCAATGGTTGGCCTGGTGGTCTTCCATGGCGAGAGGGGATGCACTGCAGCCTCCCAGTAGCTCTTTGCCCTCTGGCCAGTAACAGAGGCAACAGTGTCCTTTCCTTCCGTTCTGATCCTAAGAGCATTAGCAACATTCACAGGCGTTCATGCTGCTTCTCTCCAGCCTCAAAGACTGTAAGTTCCTCAGGGCAGGGAGCTCTCTTCTACAATGTAAAGCGCTGAGGCCAAAGTTCCATGGGGAAAAAGTACTTCAGCGGTTCAGAGGCCTCCCCCCCCCCTTCTGTATATTTATATATCGGTGGGAAGGTAACAGCGTTCCGTGCGCCTCGGTGTTTAGTCATGCCGGCCACATGACCACGGAAACGTCTTCGGACAGCGCTGGCTCTTCGGCTTTGAAACGGAGATGAGCACCGCAACCCTGGAGTCGGATTCGACTGGCTTTCGAGCAAGGGAACCTTTACCTTTACACACACACCGTATATTTATATGATACTGCTATATAATAAGAACAAGGAAACACGCAGATTAAACCGTCGCTATTAATCCCCCCATGTACAAAATCTGCGCAACTGTTTACGTATATTTGAATACAATTAGCATATGTAAACCCCTCTCCCTCCTTCTCACCCTCCGGGCCCGCATGGAGCTCGAGGTGGCGACAGCGAACCAGCCAGGTCGTGCCCACGCCAAAGCCTCACTACTTCCTCTCTAAAGAAAAAAACAACTACTTCCTCTTAAACGCTCGCCTGGGGGGAAAAGTCCAATCAAAGAAATGATGAGGCAGGAAATTCCCGCCTATTCCTGAGGTCGGTGTCGCCATATTGCTATAGGGCAACGGCCTCTTCCTGGGCAACGTGTGACGTGCCGCCATCTTGGTTTAGGGCATTCAAATTGCAAACGGAGAAGCTTGGTGGGCGGTTTCCCTTTTCTCTCCGAGTCCGCCCCTGTTGGAGCGCTGGACGCCGCCGAAGTTCTGTACTTGTCTCTGAGGCCTTTGGGCTAAGGGCGTCCACGGAACTTTGCGGAGAAGGCGCCGTCATCTTTATAGGGCATTTGTTGCGCCGGTTCAGCGCTCTGGTTAGGAAAGCCTTTTGCGGGACAAAAGGCCGACATTTTTGTCGATGGCATTAAAAACTGTCGGCGCCATCTTTGTTAGAGGAACTTATTTCGGGCGGGGAGAGGAGAGTGCTTTAGTATTACTCTTCCTCCCCTTCAGAACAACACAAACTCCTCCTTAACAAGAGGAAATGTAGCATGGCCAGCAGACCTCTCACAGATTGCAGGAACCAGAAATAACGTTATGCAGAAAATGAAATTACACAAAAAGGGTGTGTGTGTGATTGACAACACTGCAACCTTTATTTCCTTAAAAAGGTAAAGGTTCCCTTGCTCGAAAGCCAGTCGAATCTGACACTAGGGTTGCAGTGCTCATCTCCGTTTCAAAGCCGAAGAGCCAGCGCTGTCCGAAGACGTTTCCGTGGCCATGTGGCCGGTATGACTAAACACCAAGGCGCACGGCACGCTGTTACCTTCCCACCGAAGTGGTACCTATTTATCTACTTGCAATTTCTTGCTTTCGAACTGCTAGGTTGGCAGGAGCTGGAACTAGAGAACTGCTGAACTACCGACCTTCCACAGCCTGCAGTTCAGCGTCTTAACCACTTGAGCCACCGCAGCTTACTTAGCCAGTTCTAACTAAGGTTGTGAGCTCTGGGTTGGGAAATTCCTGGATAATTTGGGGGTGGAGCCTGATGGGGGTGGGGTGAGGGGAGGGGAGGGAGCCTACCTTCCCAACCCAAGTGGCCTTTTTCTCCAGGTGAACCGATCTCTGTCGCCTGGAGATCAGTTGTAATCAATGCTCCCTCTAAGCTGTGCAGTCTTGGGAGCAAAAATTCTACTCTGTGAGCTACCGGCATTAAAGTTGTGAGTGAGTGATTTGGCTCCTGCACAAATTAGTTTGCTCTGGAGCCCTCCTTCCTGAGCGAAGACAAAAATGTGTGAGCCGGAGGCTAAAAAACTGTGAGCTAGCCCACACTAACTCAGTTTAGAGGGAACACTGGGTGTAATCCCAGGAGCTCTCCAGCTACCACCTGGAGGCTGCCAAACTTAGGCCCTGGCACACTTTTTCAGTACTGTGGCTCACTCCTAAGGAGAATGCTCCCCCACCATGAGCAGAGTGCCTCCTCAGTGCCAAGCAGGTGCACAGGGCCTACTCTCCTCCCCACAGAAAAAGCAGTGAAAACTGCAAGACAAAGTTTACGGCTTGTTGGCGTGAGATTTCCAGGTTCCAATCCACTTTTACCCGAAACAGTATAAATTTCTAATTCACTTAAGCTTATAACAAATTCCTTCCCCCCCTTTCTCTGTTTTCCGCCTGTTTCCATCTTCCCCCTCCTCTTTCCACCTTTCTGTTTATCTCAGTTACTGCCTACCTAATCCCCATCCCTAGTTTGGGTTGCCAGCTCTGGAACTGGGAATTCCTGGAGATTTACAGTTGGTGCCTGGGGCGAGTGGGTTTTGTAGAGGGCAGATATGTCAGCTGGGTATAAAACCATCCTACAAAGCAGACATTTTTTTTCTCCAGGGGAACTGATCTGTGTAGGCTGAAGGTCAGTTGGAATTCCAGGAGACCTCCAGGCCCCACCTGGAGGTTGGCAACCTTATATTCCCTTCACTTTCCCT